TAATATATCATAACATAATATATGTTATGTTATGTATATTAATATGTTATATATAATATATACACCTTTTTGATTCTAGGCATCTTAGTGAGTACGAAATGGTACCTCATTGTGGTTTTGATTTACATCCTCCTAATGACTAATGGTGTTGAGCATCTGTTTATGTGCTTTTTGGCCATTTGTATATATCCTTTGAGGAAATGTCTCCCTTGCGCATTTTTATTTGGTTATTTCTCTTTTTATCATTGAGTTGCAAGAGTTGTTCATATATTCTGGATCAATTTGTTTATCAAAAATATGATATGCAATGTCATGTTATATGATTTGCAAATGCTTTCTCCCACTCTCTGGGATATCTTTCCATTTTCTTGATAGTGTCTTTTGAAACAGAAAAGTTTTTAATTTTGATAAAGTCCAGTTTATCTGGTTCGTAGGCTTGTGCTTCAGGTTTCGTAACTCAGAAACCATTGTTAATCCAAGGTCATAAAGATTTACACCTATGTTTTCTTCTAAGAATTTTATCATTTTAGCTCTTACTTTCAGGTCATTGATCTATATTGATTTAATTTTTGTATATGATGTGAAATAAGAGTACAAATTTATTACTTTGAATGTGGGTATGCAGTTATTCCAGTATCATTTGTTGAAGAGACTACTCTTTCATCCTTGAATGGTCTTGGCTCTTTTACCAAAAATCAATTGACCATGGTTATACGGATTTATTTATGTACTCTCCATTCCATTCCATTACTCTATATGTCTATATTTATGTCAGTACCACATAGTCTAGGTTACTGTAGATTTTCATTAAGTTTTGAAATCAGGAAGTGTCAGTCCTCTAACTTTGTTGTTCTTTTTGAAGAATATATTGACTGTTTTGGGTACCTTGCATTTGCAAAGATATTTTGGAATCAGCTTGTCAATTTGTGAGGGAAAAAATAGCTTGGGAATTTGATAATAACTGGGAATTTGATAGTGATTGCATTGAATCTGTAGATCAATTTGGGGATTAAAAATATTAAGTTTTCCAATCCATGAACATGGAATGTGTTTCCGTTTATTTAGACCATCTTTAATTTCCTTCAAAAATATATTACAGGGGCACCTGGCTGGCTCAGTCAGTAGAGCATATGACTTTTGACCTTAAGGTCATGAGTTTGAGCCTCATGTTGGGTATAGAGATTACTTCAAAAATGTACTACAGTTTTCACTATACAAGTATCTCACTTTTTGTTAAATTTGTTCCTAGGTATTTTATTCTTTTTTTAAATTTATTAATGTTTATTTTTGAGAGAGACAGACAGACAGACAGAGTGAGGATGGGGCAGAGAGAGAGAGAGAGAGAGAGAGAGAGAGAGAGAGGGAGACACAGAATCCGAAGCAGGTTCCAGGCTCTCAGCTGTCAGCGCAGAGCCCAATGCGGGGCTTGAACTCATGAACCAAAAGATCATGACCGGAGCCGAAGTCAGACACTTAACTGACTGAGTCACCCAGGCGCCCCAGTATTTTATTCTTTTTAAATGCTACTTTCAATGGAATTTTCGTCTTTCATTTTTAGATTATTTTTTGCTAGCTTATAGAAATGCAGTTGATTTTTGTATCCTACAGACTTTTAAATTCATTTCTTGTAATAATTTTTTTCTTTTTCCTTTTTATTTTTAGAAGAACTCCTTATATTTTATCTTTTTAAACATGTTTATTTGGGGTGCCTGGGTGGCGCAGTCGGTTAAGCGTCCGACTTCAGCCAGGTCACGATCTCGCGGTCCGTGAGTTCGAGCCCCGCGTCAGGCTCTGGGCCGATGGCTCGGAGCCTGGAGCCTGTTTCCGATTCTGTGTCTCCCTCTCTCTCTGCCCCTCCCCTGTTCATGCTCTGTCTCTCTCTGTCCCAAAAATAAATAAATAAACGTTGAAAAAAAAAATTTTAAACATGTTTATTTATGAGAGACAAAGAGAGAGCGAGGGAGGGGCGGGGGAGGAGGGCAGAAGCTCTGAAGCGGGCTCAGTGCTGACAGCAGAAAGCCTATTGCAGGGCTTGAACTCACACACCGTGAGATCATGACCTAAGCCGAAGCTGGACGGTTAAGCAACTGAGCCCCCCAGGCGCCCCTAGTCAGGTCATTTTAAAATCTGTTTTGCCCATATTTGCCTTTTTATTGCAATGTTTAATCCACTTACAAATAACTTAATTATTTGTGAGTTAGGATATATATTTTTCATTTTGTATTTACTTTCTATATGCCTTTCCGCCTTTTTGTTCTTCTATTCCTCCATTGTGTTTTCTTTTGTATGTATGAAATAGATATCTTCTAGTATACATCATTTGAATCTTTTTCACTTCTTTTACCACATATTTTTTTTAGGTACTTTCTTAGTGGTTGCCCTGGAGATTACAATTAACCTCTTAGCTTATAACAATATAGTTCTGATTAATACCAACTAAATTTCAGTAACATACAATGGGGAGTGATTGCTTAATAGGTACCGAGTTTTTGTATGTGATGATAAAAAAAAAAGTTTGGAACTCAATAGTGGTGATGGTTGCACAACATTATGAATGTACTTAATGCCACTGAATTGTATGCTTTTAAATGGCTAAAGTGTTAAATTTAAGTTATGCTTCCTCCACTACAACAAAGAAGAACAAAAAACGGAGGAGAAGTTAAGACATTCCCAGATAAACAAAAACAAAGAATTTGTTGCTAGCAAACCTGCTCTACAAGAAATACAAAGGCAGTTCTTTGTGCTAAAATTAAAAGATATCAGGCAATAACTTGAATTCACATGAGAAATAAAAGCATCAGTGAAGAGATCAAAGAAAGTATACATGTATTCTTTTTGTTAGTAGCTTTATTTTTTTTCCTATCTGATTTAGAAGCATAAACCAATAATTAAGAGTATGTGCTAATGACTACAATGTAGATGAAGTTCAAAAACAGTAAGCTAAGTCAAAGGAGCCAGACATAAAAGGTCACATGTTGTGTGATCTCATTTATACAAAATGTCTAGAACAGGCAAATCCATGCACACAGAAAGCAGATTGGTGGTTGCCAGGGGCTGGGGGGAGGGGAATGGGGAGCCACTGCTTAACAGGTACTGGCTTTCCTTGGGGCTGATGAAGATGTTTTGGAACTACACAGAAATGGGGGTTGCGCAACATTGTGAGCGTACTAAATGCCACTGAACTGTTCACTTTAAAATGTCAATTTTATGTTATGTGAATCCCACTTCAATAACAACAAAAAAGCAGCTCCCCTACTGATACGGATTCTGGCAATTTAGGAACCACACTTTGGCCAACCACTTTTCATCACATAATTTGGGCCTCCAAGGGATGAGGATTTCACTTTTTCTAGGTTTTCTTCACTTGGAGGCCTCTGAAGACTCAGGTAGAAAGAACCAAAATTGCAAAGCATACCATCCCCTTCATACCCCCTAACCACAGGCGTGCACTTGCCTGGTTTCCTTGTCTCACTCGCTCCACCTTGCCAGTGTCCTCTCTTGGTAGTATTTTCCTGTTCAGCCTGAAATATGGTTACCATGTAGGTTGATTTCCTAGTTTTGACCAATCCCAGTAGCTGTTGCCTATTACTTTCTTCATCAAGTTTACTTTCAACTTGTAGTTTTCATTTAAACTGCTCTGTGCAATCAGGAGACAGCTACGGGTTGCTTTATTGCTTACCTTGAACTCTCCAGAATTTCTACAACCACAACACAAGTGCAGACTTCCAAGTACAAGCCTTGGGGCTGGCCCAGTGCTGACTGATTCCAGAGCCCCCAAAATTCCCCTGCACCCTGGCTCTGCAGTTTTCCCATATTCCCCACCCCACAAGAGCAGAAGAGAGCCTATTGCCTGTGGGAGTAGGATCAGGAAGGCTTCATGCAGGAGGCTGCATCTGAGCTGGCCCTGAGGGGTGGGCATTGGGGGGAAAGGACATTCCAGGAAGAGGCAACCGCACAAAAGGTGTGATTAGTCTCGTACAAGAGGCCTAAACTATGGACATTGGCGCTAGAGGGCTAGGAATTCAAAGTCTAGTCTGGCTATTTCCTAGTTCTTTTCACGATCCCATTCCTCAGGCCTCTCTCGCTCCTACACGCATCCTCCCTGTTCTGTGAATGCTCTCCTAACCACCCATGCACAGTTACAGAGTTGCCTATTCTGTGTATCTGCTGTTCAATGACTCGACAACTCCCCACTTAATACCCCTGATGCGTATCTGCATTTGTGAGCTGGGCAGCTGTTTGGGCTCACTTTTTTTTTTTTTAATTTTTTTTTTCAACGTTTATTTTATTTTTGGGACAGAGAGAGACAGAGCATGAACGGGGGAGGGGCAGAGAGAGAGGGAGACACAGAATCGGAAACAGGCTCCAGGCTCTGAGCCATCAGCCCAGAGCCTGACGCAGGGCTCGAACTCACGGACCGCGAGATCGTGACCTGGCTGAAGTCGGACGCTTAACCGACTGCGCCACCCAGGCGCCCCTGGGCTCACTTTTTACTCCACATAGATCCCTGGTATCACCCCTATGTCTCTTTCCCAATTTTAGTAAACAGTGATATCCAAGTGAGCACTCCCAAATATACTTGCTGTAGCGGTTGAATTCCCTGCCACGGCCAATCAAGTATCTGGTTCGAGTTCGATCCCAAGACCAAAGATGATGGAGAGAACTTTCCAGAAGGAAGCAGTGACACGAAAATCTGGAAAAAAAAATGGTTGAGGCATTGTTTGAATTCACACTGGGACCAATCAGGGAGTCTGGTTTGAATCTGAAGTGGCTACTTCATTCCGTACTTGGAATTCTCGCAACCCTGACTCAAACACATACAAAGCCAAGCGAGAATCCTTCCCACCAATAAGGAGCTGACATCTGGAACATAGAGGTTTTCCACAGAACGAGAAGAGTGAGTGGATAGCACCCCGTCAGTCATTCCCACACTAACCAATCAGGACCTTTGGGGGCGGAGCCATAGGCTGGCTATAAACGGGGCCCAACGGGTTGTTACGGTGCCCATTTTGCCTCGGGTCGTGTGGTGCGTCTGGCGTTGGTCCTTCTCCTCAGGGGCGAGGGAACGTGGCGACTGGTCCCACACAGAATCGGAAGAACGTAAGATTGATTTAATTGTGAATTGTCACGCTAGTGGCCTATTTGTAGTACACCTTTTATAGGTGGGGGTATGAAATGTGGTACTATGTTTTGCTAATTAAGAATTTATTTTAATACTCTAGCGGGCTTTAATGCCTGTGACACGGTGGGTCCCGTAGGTGAATTTGGGCACAGTATTGCGCCCTGTGATGTTTTTACCCGTTTAAATACTGGTCTTGGTCCCCTCTTCTATGTGGCGTCAAGGTTCTCTATGGTGTTTGAAACTTAAAAATGAGGAGATGGCGCTGCCGCCTGAGCGGGCGCGGGACAGCTTCGTACGTCGCTGCCTGGGAGCTGGTTTTGCCTCCTGTTTTGCATTTTGGGGTACTTATTGCCTGTGTGAATTTGTTTGGTTCGTGGCCCTAGTCCCTTTGTCTCGGTTGTTTTCCGCCTGACGAGAAATGTCACACGCTGAGGGATCGTGCGTGGGATTAGGGCAGTTGGGGGGGCGGCGGCTTCCTTCCAGGGTCATTTGGCGGGGGGGTGTTCCCCCCCTTAAATATCGTTCGTGTGGTGAAATTTCGGAATCGCTCGTGTCGTACGCTAACTTAATTTAAAAAGAAACAGAAAGTCCCGCGGTGTCGTCGACTTGAACATGAGCAAATTGACGACCCGATTCACCTCAGGACTTGTGCTTTGACGGCCTTAATGGCCTTAAACGCCAAGAGCTTTCAGGAACCTTAACGCCGGTTTGCATTTTGCTATGGTGATACTGAACCGAGAGCGGGCCTGGCCCTTCTCCCGTACCTCGCTTTCCAAGTTTGGTCTTGTTTGCGCCGGCTGTTTTCCAAACGCTGTGGGTGCTCGTGAGCCTCCGGTCAGCCCATACTGGGTGTCCTTCCACGTTTAATTTTGGAGAACAGTTGCTCGTTCAGCCTCGTTGCGTTCTGTTAAATTTCGGTATCGGGGGCTCCGCAGGTCTCTTATGGGAAGCGGGGGAATTAAGGGTCAGATCGAGTGCCTTTTAGTTGGTAATATACTTGCGGATTTGGTATAGATTTATTTGGTTTGGATCCGGGTTTTGTTCTCACTTCATGAATTCTTAAAAAAAAAAAATATATATATATAAATATGCATAAATATATATAAAATATATATTAAATATATATAAAATAAAAAAATATATTAAATATATAATAAAAATATATAAATATATATATTTATATATATTTATATATATATATATTTTGAGGTGCTCCGAATTTACAAGTGCAGAATTTAACCCTCTGGCTCAGTCCTGTAAGTTTCACGACAGTGAATGCAGTGGAGGGTCTTGTCCGGGCGGTCATTTAACACAGTTTGGCACTTGGTTTTACAGAGAAATTGTAGGTCTAGTATCATTTTATTACATTAAAAGCAGCTCTTGGTCTTTTTCGTAAGCTTTGTGTAAAAGAGTTGAGTGTTATCTTTAATTCGCAAATAGGGTAAAGAGTTTTCTAAGGGAAGGAAGGTATTGTGGTATTTTCGGTGTGAAAATGCACACCACTTTCACAATCTGCGTGGCCGAGAGTGTATTTTAGGACAACGGATGCCCCAGAGTGCCGGTCACTGGCCACCACGAAATGCTGTTTGCGATTTTGTTTTCTGTAAAAATTGGATGTTTAATAGCACGTTATTGAATTCATTTCTGCTAGTCTTTTGCATGCATTTCCCTTGACAAATGTGAGATATTTCAGTGTATAAATTTGGAAAGGAACGTCGAGACTGCTGTGTTTCTGGAAGTGAACAGCCATTGGAAATCATGTTGCGTAGTTCTGAATCTTACTTTACAGTACAATTGTGTATTTAACATAATGGGAATGTACAATTTTACCCCTAGCTCCTCTTTCCCGAGTGTTTTTCCACAGAAAAGCCAGATTTCTATGGTCTCCAGTTACGAACAAACAACATTGTTTGGTAGCAAGTTAGCACCGAAACTGGCGGGAATACAAGGCTCCGCCTCCTGCTGGCGCGTGCTGGCCACGCCTCTAGCCCACGCGTGCCTAACTCTGCAGTAAGCTGGGTTAAACCTTTAAATGGCAAGTGCAGGCTTTTGAAATGGACAGAGATGGCTTATTTATATCCATGCTTCTATTTTGTGAAATGTAATGTGTATTAACTAAATCAAAGGAAAACTCTGGTCTCTCTCAAAGATCTGAGAACCCTAACCGCCAAGAGGAACCTGATTCTTGCCTGAGGTAAAGTGGTGCTGGTTGAATTTGTCTGGTTCATCCTTAATTTTGACTTGAATTGTGCATATTGTTTACTATGTAAATGACTTATTGATACCTTTATTGGTGGAATGTTGTTATTCTCCAAATATTATCTTCCTGGACTATATTGAGAAACCAGGAAGATCGATTGTTGGTAGGATTGAAGGCTGCCTCTGCTTTTGTTGCTATGAGGAACCAAGGTTTGGGGAATGGGGACATTAACTAGCTTCACAAATACTACTGTTTGAAGCAGAGCCCTAACCCTTGAACAATTTCCAACTGTGGGATTTAGGTCCAGGTGTGGAGTTTGAAGGCATTTTATTGTATCCACCTTTCTCAAGAGAATCCCAGAGGGAGAGGGGACATTTTCTAAAGACCACATCCACAAAAGCCAATATTAGTAACTGTCAGATTTCTTCCATTGTTACTTGCTGTGCTCAGTGTCAGACGGTAACACTGCTGCTTAATGGTTGAAATTATTCGTGAAATTACTCTAAATGATACTAGCTTAATTCTGATGTCCATGATTTTCTAAGTTACTGCATCACCAACTACTGACACTAATACACCATGAAGTGCTGTTGTGTAACCTGGTGAACAGCCCTGCCAAGGGTTTTATTACCCAAGGTATTGAATAGAATAAACGGATTCATTTGAGACCCACCCCTAAAGGAATTAAGGGATGCTGTCTGTCAGTCTAACATTTCATAATGCCCCCGTGATGTTTGATTAAAGCAGAGTAACTGGATCATTTTGAAGGGACAGTCGAAAATCTGAAGCAGTAGTCTTATCCTGTAACCACAGGATGAGTGTAGGTGCTGTTTTACATTGTCTTTCATTCTTTATGATTGCGTATCCTAACCTCACCAACCGTTTTCAGAAGTTCCTCTGGATAAGTGAAAGAGTATAGGTGTCCCAGCCACCCACCCGAGTTTCCAAGTTAAGTAACTCTCTGCCCACAGGCAGATCTCCTTGCAGATTCATCACCTCCTTCAGGACCTGTGATAGAAAAGTCCAGTATTGATCAGTCTGTGGGCCTGTAATGTGAAGAAAGTGGAAATAGAACCCATAGTCAGAACCAGCCAGATGAATAAGTGCATCTCTGTGTAGCATGAGCTGAGGGGTATTGGGCAGAGAGTGGCCCCCCTCTGCTGTCCTCGTGTCATCATTAAAGATGGTGTTGAAATGTTATCCCCAGGTCTTTAAAAGGTAGGCATGGTGGCAGGGTCACTCCTGGGCACTGCCGCCTAACTCCACGGTAGAGACCACGACCCTTTATTAGGCAGGACCATCTTTTCTCCCACACATATTTGTGTTCTTCTCTACACTGTGGTTGCTACTGTTAGAGTTTGGCATAATTAGACTGTTGTGATTTTAAAGAAACTTCACTTTGACTTTTTAACACCAGAGTTTTAATCTTTCTTTTTATTCTTTTTTCAGATCCAATAACACACCAGAACGAAGGAACGAACTAGATTGTAGAAAACAAACTTCGGAAGTCAAAGCCAAGTGGGGTGCTTAGCTTTGTTTCAACAGGTATGAGAACATGGATCTGAATATAATTTTAAAGCCAACCTCTGTCTATGAGAAAGAGGGAAAGATGAGACCTATGGACCAAGTCGGGGGCAGGGAATGGTAGTCAGCCAGCCAACCCTCCCTGTGAGGTTTATTTGGTACGGATCCTGAAGGCATAGGCCAGCAATTAAAGTAATAGAGGTCAATTCTCGTCTAAATCTTTACTTTTCGATACACTGTTGGCCATTTTATTGGTTTGCAGACGTTGATGGAACCACATGCCCCACATGGCGTGTTTCATACACAGTAAGCCTGTTGTCTCTGAGTCTGAGAGACACTCTGCTCATTGTCACTCTGAGGCAATAGTCTGTCAGCTCAGCTGACTCCTAACATATTATTTCAACACGTTGTGTCACTGTTAAAAATTTTTCAATGAATTCAGGTACTGGAAGCTGTGGACGGACGAGGTTTGAGATTTGCATACTAAGGCTCCCTGACCCCTGTCTTTCCTGTCACATTACACAAAGATGTGCAGTGGGATGAATGGACTTGGGTGAACTGATCATGACAAAAAGTGCTAATGTTGATTGGGTTACATTTAATGCTCCTGTATAATCCTCTGTTTTGTTCCTGTCCAGGTCACAGTTTCTATCAATATAGTGGCCAAACCACAAGGCTTGATTGGTAAGTGTTCCCCTTATTTGGTGCTGTTTCCCCAAGATTGTTACCCACTGCGCTTCTTCAAAACATGTAGAGGTTCTGTGTCTGAACTTGATTTCACTTTTGCTAACTGTCAATTTTCTGGCAAGGTATGCAGTAAGTGGGTCAGGATTTTTTTTCTGGTGAGTGATGAGATTTCATATTCATTTGGGGTTGAAACTTCCAGAACGCGGGAACACCAAACCTCAGAGTGGGGACATCTTCTGACCACAGTTTACACTTTAAGAGGTGTTGCTCACTTTGGCATATGTTTTGGAATGTGACCTTCCCCTGCAGTCCTTTGGCATATGTTTTGGAATGTGACCTTCCCCTGCAGTCCTGGAACAGTAAGTCTTAGGAATGGTACTTATTCCTACCATCTGTAGAGTAAATGCCTGCATTATGCAGCTCTGAGGCTTGGTGCTTTCTAGCTTGCCTATTGGGGTCAGTCAGACCTCAGTTCAAACCTGCCTCCATCAGTAACTATTCTTAGTCCTAGCTAACTCTTTGAGCCTCAGTTTCCTTATCTGCAAAACAGCAGTCATACTTTGCCATCAGGGATGTTGTGAGAATTAAGTGTGACACTTTTTGTAATGCACCAACCACACAGGAGGTACTCAATGAATTAGTCCCCCATTTCCTAAATGTATATATCTGAACAGGACATTGTACTGCTTGGGGTTGCCCCCTTTCTGCCCCCTTCCTTTAATTATCGTCTTTGCTTTCTCAGCCACAGTGCATTCTTCATAGGTTACACTGGCTTGTCTCTGGAAATTATACCTCTGTGATCTCGCTTTGAAGCAAGAGGTGGCCCAGGGACCTGAGATTTTCCTTGTGCTGAGCCGGGTTCTTTTCTGGCCAATTTGAACACCTTACACCGAGGCTGACCTGGCTCAGCACCCGGAATGACATCCTAGAATTTGTCAAGCTGTGCAGGCTGGAGGGTACCTGTTAACTGAAAGTCCTAGAAAGTTCTCTTCTCATTCCTCCCCCATAACAAGTGTCTCCTGGGCTGCGATTAGTTCATTTAAGATTAGGTGAAAATCTTGACAGTGTGAAGGATGGGACAAAATGCTCAATATAAATATGCACTATCCTAAGATGATCTCAAAGAGACTGTTAACTTTTAGTCTCAAAAGATATCTCTGGTTCCGCTACTTTTATATTAGCACAAGTTATATTTTGGTAAGATTATGGAACCTAGAGTTCACCCATTCAAGATAAAAATCCACATTTCTGGGGCACCTGGGTGGCTCAGTCAGTTAAGCATCCAAATTTGGCTCAGATCACAATCTTATGGCCCGTGAGTTCGAGCCCCACTTTGGGCTCGCTGCTATCAGCTCAGAGCACACTTTGGATCCTCTGTCCCTATCACCCCTCTCCCACTCATGCTCTCTTTCTCAAATATGAATAAACATTTTTTTAATCCACATTTCTTTTTGATTGGAAACTAAAGTGTCTAGCTGTTGCATAGCTCGTTGACATTTCAAAGCCTTTTGATTTATCCCTGTAATTGATGAAATTTCTTTAAAGCCCTGGGCCCTGGGGTCATTATTATTTCCCACTAAGTGAAAAACTAAGGCCTGAAGTATTTAGAAAAAGCTTTACCCAAAACCACTTAGTGGCGCAGCACCAACCAAGTTCCCTCACTAAGCAACATGATGGTGACCTTAGCTTACATGGTTGTCCAAAAAAGGTATGAAACTTTATTATAACTCTGCCACCTCATCCCCATTCCATACACATTTGTACCCACTGCAGATTTCAGTCATCTTGAGTCTTTTCATTGGGGGCGGGGAGGTGTGGAGAAGGCCTAAATGAATGGTTTAGTGGGTAATTTCACTAAGCTTTGGCATTTAAAAAGTGGTTACAAGGCAGAGAAATCCAAAAAGGTTAATGTCCATTTGGATGGATTATCCCCAGAATTCAGGAACCTAGGAGAAGTGAAAGGGACTCTATTCAAAACTTAAGGTGGAGCCTGGCTTCTTGAATCCTAACAAGTTCAGTCTTTTGCCCTTCTACTCATCTGGGGCCTACTTGTGAATGGTTGCTAATTATTTTGAATTTTAATGGGCTATAAATTCTTGGTTTGATTTTTCTGCCTCAAACTCATGCTTAGGTTAAACGTGTTTTCATACTTATATGTATATTGGAGACAGACTGGAAATTTAATGGCAAGTCTATGTGGATTATGGGTCTTTTATGTAGGAAAAATCAATTTTCTTAGCACTTGATGAAAAAGCACCATGTACACAAAGGTTAATATACTCACATTTTATTTCCTTTAAAAATAACTTCAAATTGTAATTATAATGCAGAGAATGTCTAAAGACTACAAAAAGTGGTATGCTAGTAAATGTTTAACAACTGGCTCTCTAAAAGAAGAGAAAGCACTCTGATATATAGCACTTTCCAGTTTTGGAGGTGAAAAATATCCCATCATGGCCAATTTTAAGCTACAAATATGACATCACAGAATGCAGATTTAGGAAGAACTGTACACTCTCCACTCCTATGAGGCAGATCTTACACAGAACTGAAAGAATTTAAAAATCACTGATGATCCAATTACGTAGAGTTACAAGCACTGCCAACATTTTGGTGTTTGTGCCAACCAGTCTTTCTGTGAAAATACCCATACTAGTTATGATGGAGAGTCTTGTCATTGGATTTTGGTAAGAAATCTGTGTTTTCTCATTCAGATATTTGACTCCCATTTTGTTTCCAAATATCATGTACACACTTAGGAAGCGTGTGTACATGATTCAGTGAATTTTTTTTATTCTAGTTTTTGTTAAGCCTAATGTTCCACAAAGCATTGTACAGTGTGACATTTAAAAAGTTGTATGATTGCTGCAGGTGTATTGCTCCTCTACTTCAATAACAGCATATGTAGGGATGGTGAGAAGACCATGATCCTCATAGGGAGAGTTGTAGTTCATTTGCATGGCTTGATGCGGACTGATTATAGGTCCGGCCCATGGGACTATAAACACAAGTGAGCAAGAGGCTTTCTCTGTGTTGTTGATATTTACATTCTCAGTGGCTAGAATTGGTTCTAGGAACAAACTGCCTCCTAGTTAAGGACCTTAGGTCTTAGGGGAAGTGTCAAGAGGGACAGGAGGCATTGCTACATGTCTATGTGTAGGTACACAATTTAAGCAATCCTGTCCAAGGTCCAGAAGGAGCTGATGAGGTTACCACACTGTAGCTGGACCAAGCAGAATCTCCAGGTCAGTCTGGTAGAATACAGTAAAAGGACTCTGGATAATCATGGGTGCCTCGGGAGAGCCTCGTGACCGCTAGATCCCCAAAGAGCAGACCTGTGAGCTTCTGCCAGAGTCCAGAGTAGAGGTTCTGCCCTTCTTGCTCGCATCTTTGTTTAGCTGATGATGCAGTGATTAATGTCTGGGGAAGGACGTCACTAGAGGCAGGAGAGGCCAGCTGGAAGTGTGGTGGGAAGAGAACGAAGAAAAAAAAGGATTGTCCATGGTGTATAAAGAGGCATGTGCAGCCTGCTGCTCAGAGAGTAATTTCTCTAAATTTGATCTCAACAGATCTAGTTTCACGGTTTCCACCTGGGCTGATAAGGTGCTTATATCTCTGTCCGGATCCTTGTGGAAGTGAGAATATATAGGAGTCACAGAAGAGGAGCATTTTTAATAATATATTGTTTTGATTCACAAAACAAACAAAATGGCTGCAGGCGAAGATTTTCACAGCTGGCATTAAGTGTTAATTAGAACCAGTTAGAAGCCTTGGCTGTGAGAGGGCTTGTTTAATTTAAATATCTATGCAGCGAACTGGTTATCAGTGAAAGGCATGGCTGGCACCCAGCCATCAGGAAACCCCCACACCTATCTGTTTCCTTGGACTTTTGACCAAAACAAAGTCACCCTCCCCCCTCCCCCCCCCCACTGAGTACTTCAACCAGTGAAAATTTTCATTCTTTTATTAAGCAAAAACACTCTCCAGTTGCCTATTGTCAGCCTTTCTAATTTTTGGCTATTCTATAAATATGCCCTCCACTTGCACATGTAGTTAGGTTGAAATGTCAAGGGACCACAGGGGGATGTTTATGAAATTCCATAAAAAAATGTTTTCACAAAACTGAGGTTTATTGGTATTCCAGAGGAGCTAGTAATGACTTCTTTTCCATTTGAGTCTGCTCCTTGCCTTCTCCCCTTCACCTTGAACTTTTGCTTGAGTCTAGGAATCAATTTTGCCTAATTTCCAAATGCTGCTTGTCAGTGTTTTGCCTGGATTCGTTATATATATATACCCAGAGTGGAAGGTAACTTGGTGCATCTTAATAACATAAAGACTACCCTTCTCCTGAAAAGCATCTCTTCTCTTCCTGCTATTTTGTTCTGTCATTTCTTGGCAGAATTGAGAGATGATATTTCATTAAAATGAGGGGTTCTCTTAACAGTACATTGACTCTTCTATCTCGTTTCATGATAAACTCTACTCCTCACATGCAGGAATTTGCAGGAATTCATATTTTTCATGGTGTTCTCATGAATCAGAAAGGACTGTTCCTTGGTCACTGTCCAACTGTGGGGCCGACATGCATTCCTTACAGTGTCTCTGTGCAGGGTTCCTCCAAGTAGAGTTTAGCTAGCTACTCACTAAGTGCACAGACCAGTCAGGAAATAGAAGTTTGTGTTTTGTTTTTATTTCTATCAAACTTATACAAATATGACATCTTGTAGGATAAAATAACTCCATGAGGTTTACTCACAAAATCAGTAGTTCCCCCAACCTACCACCATTCCATTTCCTGTTCACCGTGTTTATCTCAAAGCAGCACCATGTGATCGTGCAATGGTAGAAATAACTGGTGCTAACAACTGCTCAGAAAAACATAAGAGCTCTAAAAAAAAATTGAAGATGGGGTGCAGGGGTCACTTTGTGGATGTCTTTGTGCTTGTCTATCTAAAGGGAGGAGAATTACAGAGGATAAATCCTCAGAAGGGGGACCA